GACCAGCTGGTAGATTTGAACCACTGACTTGGTTAGCACCCAAATGTCTTACCCACTACCGCACCAGAGCTCTTCCCCTAACGTTTTCCAGGTCAGGTAGACTACAAACCGAGGCCCATAGACTGCATGTCAAAATATTTGACCAGCATAAATTAAGTCTACAAACTCCAAACCAAAGGCTCTGGGGCGCCTGGTACACAGTATGATCTCAGTACACAGGGTCTCCCACTGGAGAGGGGGTGGCCCCAGGGCAGTGACCATCCTGCTCAGCCCCTCAGGAGTCACAGACCTGCCAAGCTGGTCAGGGCCCCAGACCCCCTCCCCACTCCAGTGACCACTCTGCTGGGTACCCCCCCCCCAGACCACCTGCCCATACCCCCACCCCCAGTCCTAGACCCTAGGAGTTCTCCTCCCTCTAACTCCACAGTGGCGTGGGGTCTTCCCCTGGGCCTTCCTGACTGCCATGCCCTCAGCCCTGCAGGCCCAAGCTCCCAGCCCATCCCAACCAAGAAACTAGACGACTGGGACCACTGGGCCCCAAGGCATCCCTGGTGTCCCCTCTGTGCTGTCCTCTGGGGCTGGGCCGAAGGAAGGCATGGCCTGGGAGAGCCCCAGGTTTGCAGAGGAGCTGTCCCACAGGCCGAGGCAGTGTGGCCAGACACGAGTCCCCTGGGCGGACACCACGTTCGTGGACAATCAGGGCAGGAGAGGCCTGAGCCGAGAGGAGTGTCCCACCCAGCTCCCGACGCCTGGATTGCACACTACTCCAGGACTGAGCCCTTGAGAACCAAGACGTGGGTCCCAGCAAGATCCCTGCTCGGTTGGGATGAGAAAGCCTGCTTGTTGCTACTCATCAAACCCACGTGCATTGAAGGAGACCTCAACTGTGAGCTAAAGTGACTCAGAGGCCTGGGTGCTCTATAAGTCCCTGTTGAGGGGGCAGACCCCTGTACTGACCTCAGGCCACCCTCACCCAGGCCGAGCCCCTCACCCAGGCCAAGCCCCTCTCTGAGTGCAGTGTCTCACCATCCAGACCCAGAGTTAGGTGGCACGGAGGCCTTGCCGGTCTGCGGCCATGACCTCCGGGTAGGACTTAGTCTCCTGGGACAGTGCTGGCTGAGGGCCATCCTGCCTAGAGAACTCTGGGAAGTGTTAAGTGACGGATTCTGCACTCGAGTTAACACAGATGTCAACAGAGATTTTATTGGGAGTCACTCCAGCTGCTGTAGCAAGAAAGCTTGGCCCACAAAGCAAAGAGCACTCCCATTTAGAAGCTTTGAGGAAATGCAGGTGCTCTGGGTGGCATAATGGTTAAAGCGTTCAGGTCCTAAGCAAAAGGTTGGCAGTTCGAGCCCACCAGCCATGTGCCAAGGGAGAAAGATAAGGTAGTCTGCTTCCATAAACGTTTTGTCGTTCTTGTTGTTGTTAGATGCTGTCAACTCGGCTCTGACTCATAACGACCCTGTGTATGACAGAATGAAACACTGCCCATCCTGTGCCAGCCTCACAATCCCTGCTATACCTGAGCCCATCATCGCAGCCACCGTGTCAATCCATCTCGTTGAGGGCCTTCCCCTCTTTCGTTGACCCTCCACCTTACCAAGCATGACATCCTTCTCCAGGGAATGGTCCCTCCTGACAACGTGACCAAAGCAGGGGAGACGAAGGCTGGCCATCCTCGCTTCCAAGGAGCATTCCGGCTGCACTTCCTCCAGGACGGCCTTGGAAATCCTATGGGGCGGTTCTGCTCTCGCCCACAGGGTTGCTGAGTTGGAATCAACTCGATGGCAGTGGGTTTGGTTTTGGGGTTGAGGAAAAAGGACAGGTTCTGGGAAGCTGTCATTTAAGGAGAGACAGGTTCTTTTGGGAAGGAGGGGGAGATGTATGTGATTGGACACGTGACCTGTCCTTCATTTCTAGTAGGCGGGGGGCGGGGGTGCCTTGGCTGGATCAGGATGAAGGACCAAGAGGACAGATGTGGGTGGGAAACAGCAGTGCAGGGAGGTTTGAGGCAGGAGCAGCTGGGGTTGTGTACCCAGGTCATGGTTGCTTCTAGTTGACAGGAGTCACCTGCGTTCTTTGTTGCCTGGGCTGTTGTTGGTGTTATGTGCCGTCGAGTTGGACCCGACTCATAGCGACCCCTCCTTGGGTTTCTGAGGCAGTATCACTACGGAAGTAGATCGCCCAACCTTCCTTCCAAGGAGTGGCTGGTGGGTTTGAAACGCTAGGCTTCTGGTTAGCAGTCAAGTGCCTGAGGCACTACGCCTGGGCTAGGGAATGGGAACACTGAGGCTCGCCTACAGGCCTGCTGAGCCCTCCTGCTTATCCTGTCTGCCACACTATGAGGTTGACCTGAGGCCCCAGAACCTGCCCCGCCTTGGGCCACCTGCCCCCTGAGGGCTCCAGGCAGCCACTCTGTCCCTCACCTCGGATGGCTCTGGGGTCTTCATCAGACAACCCCTTCCCTGAGCCTTTCTGTCTGAACCCACAGCCTCAGGGGTCCAGGAGCAGACCACGGCCAGCCTCTGCGGCTGCAAAGACCCCAGGACCTCCCGCAAGCCACCTTCTACCTGGGGAGGGCCTAACGTGGTCAAGAACGTGGGGCCTGGGCTCCACCGGGCCCCTGGCAGGGGCAGAACCCCTCCTCAGCCCTTCGCTGCTTGTGAAGCACATTCCTGACTCACAGGGACAGAGGGCAGAGGCGGGATGCTGGTCCCCAGCCCCCAGAGCCCTAAGTTCCTGCCCTTGAGCAGCTGGCTGATGACCTCAGGTGACAAATGTGCTTTCCCTTCACTGGATTTTAAAATAAACCAGCGTCCTCATCAGCCCCTGCTTCCAGCATCAAAAATAAGTGTCTCTGGGGCCAGAGGTGGGGGCCGGAGTGGTGGGAGGGGAAGGAGGCCGAGGCCCGATGGCAGGCCCAGCAGGCGGCTGGGGGAGAGGCAGAGGACCCCTCCCGACGCGCTCGCTCCTGTCCTGGCTTAGGGCCCTTCCTGGGGGTCCCAGTGTCCACCTGGCCCAGGACACCCCTGGGGCTGCCCGGGAATCTGCTGCACCTGTCGGCCATGCTGGTGACATTCTCCGGGCCCGCAGACTATCTTTAGCGACCGCTCCGGCTCCCATGCTGCCCCAGGAGCCCTCCCCAGGGGGCTCGCTCAGCCCTTCTCAGCTTCCCGGTATCAGGCTCTTCTGAGCACAGCTCTAGCCCCACCTGCAGCCCAGCCAGGAGCAATCCTTTGCATTTGCCCTTGCCCTCGCTCCAGCCCCACAGGGTTCCCCCATCGGGTAACCATGCATCCCTTTGGGTGTCCTCCCAGGCTGCACACCCCTGTCTCTCTCTGTCTCTTTCTCTCTCTCTCTGTTTCTCTCTCTCTCTCTCTCTCACACACACACACACACACACACACACACACACACAGAGTGAGCTGACCCATGACCCTGTCTTCTCCATGCTGTTGGTAGCCAGCAAACACTGAGTTACCCAAAGACAGGTCCAAGCCTGGGAATCCTGGAAGCCACTAGTGTCCTCAAGGCTGCACATCTCCTGGGGGACAGGACCCCCCCACACAGAGGGGAACTGTGGGGGCCACTTCGGTAGACATGGTTCAGGAACCAGGCCTTCCTGGGGGGCCGGGTCTGTCATCCCCCACCTGCTAAGAGGGCGCAACTGCTCTCACCTCTATTTCCTGCCACCTCCTGCCTAGACAGCCCCTGGGGGCTCGGAGGGCTTTTCCAGGCAAGAAGCTGAAGTGAGGCAGGACAATATGGGGACCAGGATGCCACCTCTCTCTCTCCGAAGGCCTGTCCTCTCTCCTGCTCGACAAGACTCCCCAACAGCCTTACGCCACTCCCACACCTCACCAGGGCATGGGGCTTCTGATTTTGGGGTGTGCCTCCTATCACTGCAGACCTGACACCACCTAGAGGAACTCCCAGACGCTGAGCGTGGGGCCACAGTTTCTCATTGATTGGAGGTGTGCAGTGGGGACCCCGTAGCCAGCAGTCTGGAGTTTGAGTGCTGGCCTCTCAGCTCCACCAGTTCCCTTCCACCAGGACGTCATCTGCCCCGGGATGAGGCCATGAGCTCTGCTGACCGGTCCCTTTGTCACAGAACTCCCGACACACACACCATGCACAGCAAGCAGCCTGTGACTTGTCCCCAGGGCCACTCGAAGCAGTTCTGTGTGGATGTGGAAAAGGCGGCCCTTCATGGGGACTCCTGCAGCCTGGCCAGACCCTCATCCCTAAAGATGGCAGACCATTCCCAAGCTATGCTCCCGGGGGGTGAAGGCCCCTGGCCAGGGGCATGGAGGGCCTACCAACAGGTGCCAGAGGCCTCAGCAGGCAGGGCAGGGAGGGGCATCTGAGTCACCCCCAAGCTGCCTGGAGCTCACTCTGCAGCTGTCTGGTCCCCCAGGGTGGCCAGGAGCCTGTCCTTGTAGGGAGTGGTGGCCGATGTCGGAGCCGTCCTGGGGGACCAGGTGGGAGCTTAAGACAGGCGAGCCCAGGCAGCAGAGACACAGGCAGTGTTGGCAGACCAGGCATGGTGAGTGTGCATGTGTGCGTGTGTGCATGAGTGCGGGTGGACAGCGAGGGCCAGAGAGTGTCAGCATGAGGGTGACCATGTGAATGTCCATGCTGGAGGTGGGAGGTACACACCCACAGCCTCCCTGCTGACGGACCCCAGAAGGAGTCCACCCACCTCCTGACCCTCCCCGAGCAGCCAGAGGCCCAGCTGGCTCCTGGCTAGAGCCCAGCCAAGCCTGGCCAAGTTCGGAGGCACACACGTTCCTGTAGCCCCAAGTCTAGGGTTGCTCTTCCTTGGCTTCCTTGGGGCCACTGCCGTCCCCTCTCCCCACATTGCTGCCCAGAGCCTGCACTGCCCAGCCCCATGTGTCCCCAGTGCACAGCCCGCCCACCCTCCCGATTACATCTCACAAAACATCAGAGCACCCCACCTCAGACACCCAGAGAACCTCCACCTCCATTCTCGTTCCAGGCCAGCAGGAAGACCAAGAAGAAGGAAGGCGGAGCCCTCCGAGCCCAGAGGGCCTCTTCCAATGTCTTCTCCAACTTTGAGCAGACCCAAATCCAGGAGTTCAAGGAGGTAAGCCCCCACACACACACCGAGCCCGTTCCCAGAAGGCTCAGCCTGAGCCCCCCAGAAAGCCTAACGGAGGCGCGTGGAAGGTGTGTCCCCTGGAGCAGGGGGGAGTGGGGCTGAGAGGGGGGCGCAGCTCCAGGGGCAGGGCTGCATGGCCTTGGTTTTGCAGGCGTTCACGCTGATGGATCAGAACCGAGACGGGTTCATTGACAAGGAGGACCTGAAGGATACCTACGCCTCCCTGGGTACGTGGTCCAGGAGGGTGTCATCCCCCACCACACCCTTGGCCTTCCTCTCTGAGGAAAGCCTGGGCACCCCGACCTCAAGTACAATTCTGACCCCACATTCCTGCCTGCTGTGAGCAGGCAGGGCCAGGGCCCTCCCCCAGGAGAGGAATTTGCCCTGGTGTGAGCAGAGCTGGCAGACAGTGCCTTTGGGGTGAGGCAGGAGGGAAGGGGGCTGGCCCGGCTCTGGGGAGCCAGGAGGGGGTGGATGCCAGGCTCCCAGCCAGTGGGTCATCGGGATTGCGGCATTGATGGCTTGGATGGGATTCACCCCTGCCCCAGGAACCACACCAAAACTAAAATCCAAACTCACTGCCATTGAGTTGATTCTGACTCATAGCGACCCCCATTGGGTTTCCGAGGTGATAAATCTTTACGGAAGTAGATTGCCCAGTCTTCCTTCTGCGGAGTGGCTGGTGGGTTTGAACTGCCAACCTTCTGGTTAGCAGTCAAATGCCTTAGGCACTGTGCCACTAGAAAGCCAGCAACTCCACATGGTGCCCACGGAGCAGGACAGCGGATGAGACCCTGCGTGTCCTCCCCTCGTTCTCCCTGTCCCACTCCCAGTTGTCCCCAAGCGAAGGCCACATCTACCTCAGTTCTCACCGTGAGGCATGCTCAGCCTCTCCCTCTCTTCCCTCATCAGTCGACCTCTCCGGGGCTCAGGGTCTAGGGTTCTGCCAAGGCCCTACCTGCACCTCCTGACACCTGGATCCCTCCTTCCACCAAGTGCCTCAACGTGCTCACCTCCTTCCGTCTCCCCGGCTTTGTCTCCGGGTGCTGGCACTATGTGGGCTCCCCACAGAGATGGAGCAGACCCCAGGGCTCACCAGCCAACAGGGCCACACACACAACCACCACAACAGTGACAACAGGGGCAGGATGGAGGCCGGGCCAAGGATAGACACCGAGGGCGGCGGCTTCCCCAGAGGTGATTCTCCACCCCTGCCTGTCTGCTACAGGCAAAACCAACGTCAAGGATGATGAGCTGGACGCCATGCTCAAAGAGGCCTCGGGGCCCATCAACTTCACCATGTTCCTGAACCTGTTTGGAGAGAAGCTGAATGGTGAGTGCGTGCCTGCAGCTGTGTGGGTGCCAGGTGTCCATGGATGCCAGGTGTGATAGCCAGGTGTGGCGATGCCAGGTGCATGTCCAGGTGTGACAGCCAGGTGTGGGGATGCCAAGTGAGTGCTGGTGGATGTCAGGTGTGCAGACACCAGGGGAGTGTTCAAGGACGCAGGTCTGTGGTGCCAGGTATGAGGGTACCAGGTGAGTGTCCATGGATACCAGGTGTGTGATGGCCAGGTATGGGGATGCCAGGTGAGCATTCACGGCTGTCGGATGTGGAGACACCAAGGGAGTGTTCATGGATGTCAAGTGTGTAGGTATCAGGTGCGTGCCTGCTGATGCCATGTGTGTGAATGACAGGTGTGCAGGCACCAGGAATGGCACACCACGTGACTGCCTTCAGGTGCCAGGAGTATAGGTGCCAGGTGAGCCAGGGCCAGGCCCCTCCTCCTTGAGCCAGGGGGAGCCCCTCAGGCCAGTGTGTGCATGTGTTCGGTGTGTGTCTGTCTGTGTGCGCGCACTAGGCTTGTTCCAACACAAACTCAAATGTCCTGGGTGGAGCAAATAATCACCAGAATCAGCTGCTAACCACGGGCTGTAGGTTCGAGTCCACCCAGAGGCATCTTGGAAGAAAGGCCTGGTGATCAAGTTCCAAGAAACCATCCATTGACAGCCCTGTGGGGCACAGGTCTACCCTGACAACGTGAGGTCGCCACAAGCAGGCCTCAGCTCCACTGACTGCAACTGGTTGAGTGCCATGCAGCCATCCAACATCCCAATCAGTATTTTCCACTCTCCTGGAAAGTCCTGACACCTAGGATTTGGGGACTCACATCTCGGGGGGGCCCCAGCAGAGACCCCAGAGATGTGTGACCTGGAACATTCCAGCCGTACCCAAGGCTATTCCTCTTCCCACTGTCTGTCCGTCATTGTTCCCTTGATGCTGCCTGCTGCGCTGCTGGTTCATCTCTCAATCCCGGGGCACGCACCCCAATTCCAGGCCGGGGCTGGACCCTGGAGGCCCTGAGAAGAGCCCTGGCCAGCGCCATGGAGGTGAATGCAGGGCAGGAGGGCAGGGTCTCCAGGTGGACAGGGCTGCTTAGGCGAAGGGCACACGTGACCAAGGCTGAGGTCCAAGGGCAGGGCTGCATCTCTTCCAGCCACTGCCTGCCAGAGGCATGGCCTGGAGCAGAACTCTGGCGCCCTGGGCTCCAGGGCTCAGTGAAAGAGGGGAAGACCCTCAACGAGATGGACGGGCACGGTGGCTGCAACAACGGGCTCAAGCATCGTAACAGTGAGGACAACGCAGGACTGGGCAGTGTTTCTTCTGTTGTCCATGGGGTCGCTGTGAGTCAGAGCCAACACAACAGGCCCTAACAACGACAACAACAACGTGTCTCTGTGGGTAGGTACGGACGCCGAGGAGACCATCCTGAACGCCTTCAAGATGCTTGACCCTGATGGCAAAGGCAGTATCAACAAGGACTAGTGAGTGCCGGCTGCCGGGGGCGGGCAGTACTGGGCCGGGGCCCCCAGGTCAGCATGGAGGGTCTGAGGACATCATGCCCCAGGGAGGGGGTGCCGGCCACCGGCCCACCAGTCCCACCCCCTCTGCCTCTCATGGCTGCGGTCCCCTCTGGATAACTGAATGTTAACCCGTGCAGATATGTCTGGCATCACCGCCACTACAGCTAAGTTATTAATTATTAGTAATTATTACATAGTAACGATTATTGTCTTATGATTAGTATCTTTAGCCCCTTTCATCAAGAGCTACCTTGTGCCAAGAGCCCTGGTGGTGCAGTAGTTAACTGCTCACCTGCTAACCAGAGGGTCGGCAATTTAAACCCACTCAGCAGTTCTGTAGGAGGGAGACCTGGTGATCTGCCCCTGTAAAGACGACAGCCTAGGAAACCCTCCGGGGCAGTTCTACTCTGTCACATGGGGTCGCTGGAGTTGACACTGACTGACAGCACCCAACAACAACCTTATGCCAGAGTCCCCAGGATAATGACACCGTGAGTGTGTGTATCGGGAAAAGACACACACACCCCAACCTGTGCCTGCACTGGGAACAGGGCTGCAGGGCTGACTCGAGTGGGCCCCGTACCCTCAGGGTCTTCCCCAGAGTCCGGCCGCCGGCTCCTCTCGGGTGAAGTGCTGTCTTGTCGGTTATGGTGCAGGTCCGACGGGCCGGGCAGTCCCTCCGTCAGCCCTGGGCAGGTCCTGTTCTCAGCACATCCTCTCTTCCCTTCCCTTAGCATCAGGCGTCTGCTGATGTCCCAGGCCGACAAGATGACCACAGAAGAGGTTTGGCCCCTGTGTCCCCTGCCTGCTGCCTCTTGGCCACCATCTGCCTTCCTCTCTACTGCTCCCACGCTCCTCTGCAAAGCCCAGCACCCATCGCAGGGGCTGGGGGCTCTGGGGGTCGGCTGTGGGACATGAGAGCATGCTAGAGCAGGGGGCACCCTCTCCCCATGCACTACCGATGCTGTTTCCCTTAGAATAGGCCCGGGGCGGGACCCTGGGCTCTGCAAGGCCAGGGCGTGGCCAGTGCCAGGTCAGTCCTGCCAAGCATGGGTGCTCAAAATAGGACTCCCCACTTGCCCTCCACCCCTGAACCCCCAGGCCAACTCCGCACATTCCAAGCCCAGCAGGGGAGACTGTGGCCTGCCCGGGCTCCCACCCTGCTTCCCTGCCACCCACCCCCACGTGCCAAAAGGCTCAGAACCAGGCACCTGTAGCTTTCACTGACCTGCTAGGTGATTGACAGGGGACAGGTCTGTACCACTCCTGCCCCCCGACCCTGCACGCCAGAACCCCACTCCTCTCTACTCCTGGCCAGTCTAGCCACCCCGCCACTCCCTGCCCCCCTCAGAAAGGAGCCTCAGCCAGCAACAGTTCATGCCTGTATTTCGTTCTCGCCCAACCCCACTGGAGCCCTCCAGGGACCCCTTCTGGTCCTTCCCTTCCCTCCTGGGCCAGACCCAGCCCCATCCCTGACACCCCCCACCCTACCCGGCTCACAGGTCGACCAGATGTTCCAGTTCGCCTCCATTGACGCTGCGGGCAACTTGGACTATAAGGCGCTGAGTTATGTCATTACCCATGGGGAGGAGAAGGAAGAGTGAGGGGCCCGCCCCCAGGCCCTCCCAGGGCTATGGCCACTCAATAAACATCCATCCACAGACTGCAGTGTCTGCCTAGGGCTGGGGTCTGCCTGCAGGGGGTGTCTCGTGGCGTCTGCCCCCTCGCCGCCCCCCTCTGCACCCAGCCTGGCCCCACCACCTAGCCCAGGTCCAGGACAGGGTTCTCAGAGCCAGGCCCGCCAACCTCTGTCCACTCCAGAGGCTCACCAGGCTGACTCCCTGAGCCAACGCTACTGGCCATGCCGGGTCTAGCCCCCCAGGTGTCCTGTGTGCGTGTCGACTGGGAGGGCACCCACGTCCAAAGAGTAGCTCCTCTTGCTGCAGCCACAGCGCCTCCCTCGGGCTGAGGCCATCAGCTGTGCGCTGGACGTGCCTAGGCGCCGAGTCCCTGTGCATCTGCAGGGTGCTGGCACCCTGTCCCAGGCTCCCGGCACACACAGCTGTCACGGCATCCCCCAGGAACGGCACATGAGGGTCAGGCTCTCCAGGCCCAGCCTCCAGCAGGCCAGCGCTCCTGTCAACCCCGCTCCCTCCGCCTGTGGACTTGATCTCCACGTCTCTGGGGTCCTGGGGTCTATGGGGCAGGGATCCCCCCGGGCAGTGGGGCCAGAGTCGTCTCTGGAAACGGGATCCCCTACACTTCCCTACAAAGCCGGCTGTGGGTGCTGTCCTGGGGACACAGGGTGTGGCTGCCAAGAGGGGACGGTGGTGGTGGTAGTGCTCCCCTGGACGCAGTCCTCCTGGATGCAGGGGGAGGCGCTGGCCTCGACCTGCAGGCGCCGGTACGGGGTGTGGAAGAAGAACATGAAGACACAGCTGCACGCGGTACACAGGCCGGCCATCAGCAACACGGGCACTGGAGGGACACCACAGTCACCCCTGCCTCCACGGCTGACCCGCTCACCAGCCACTCATTCACCCCTTCAGTGTCCTCACAGGCCTGAGGGCCCCTTCCCAGACTGAGCCTGAGCTCCGAGGCTCTGGGATTCGAACCCGTCAAGCCCCTCTGTCTCTCAGATCTATGTCTCCCCACCTCTCTCTCTCTCTCTCTGGTCTCTGTCCCCACCCCTCATCTCCCTCTAGTTCTCTGATATCCGTCCCCACCCCCATCACAGTCTGTCTGATCCCTATTCCTCTCCCTGTCTCCCAGAACTCTTTTTAAATACCTCCCACTGGGAACTTCAGGGGTGGAGCTCTCAGTAGAGCCTCAGATCAGGAGCCCACGGTTCCCACCAAGCTATGTCAAAGGGTCCGCCTGTTGCCCTCTGGCCACTCAATCCTCCCTGGCACCGTGTGTGCCCTGCATCCTCTTTCCACATCACGCCCTCTCCCAGGAGCCTGCAAGGCGGGTGTCCCGTCCCCAACTGTCCCCAGGCCCTGAGCTCACCAGCTTCCACTGTCTGGGCTCAGCCTGGACTGAGGGTCGTGGGGGCAGGACCAGCTCCCAAGAAAGGGGTTCCTGGGTCTGAGTGGGGGCTCACCTGTCCAGTCCAGTGGGGGCTCCCCGTGCTGGCAGGTGGAGTAGGAGGGTTCTGCACGACGCTGGGTCAGGGCCGTCAGCAGCACCATGATGAGCGCCCCCTCGATCTGCCTGGACACACATGAGGCCCTCAGTCCCCACCAGAGCTGGCTGCCACCGTGGAGGGAGTGGGCAGGTGGGAACCCAAGTGATCAGCAGGCAAGGGTGGACCGAGTACTCAGGCTTAGGCGAGGGCCTGGGCCGCACGGCCTGGGGGCAGGAGGTGGACAGTATGGTGCAGGGGAGTTTCCAGGTGCTTAGTGCTTGTGGGGACCCAAGAGCAGCACGGACCACGCGGGTCACTGGGGTGCATGGACACTCACCCCAGCACGAAGACCAGGCCTGTGGCGGCACCCTCGCCCACAGGGAAGGAGCACTCCACGGCCAGTTCCATGGCGACAGGTGCGATTGACAGGCCGAAGAACCCGAACAGGGAGCAGGTGACAGCCAGCCAGATGGCCTGTCCCGGCAGCTGGGACACCTGGAGGGAGTGCACTCTCACAGATGGCGGGGGGCTGTCAGACACCCTCCAGCACTCCAGACCCAGCCTGGTCCCGGACGGAGCCCACCATCCACCGTCCATCCCGGCTGCTCAGGTGTGGGGCTAGGAGGGCAGAATGCCAGGTACAGGAACCTCACCTCCCCACACATGAGACCAGCCAAGCAGACAGAGGCCTGACTTAGCTGAGTCACAGCTGCCCAGTCCAGTTCTCACCTCCCTCCCGGCCTCAGCCCAGGGCACCCTGAGCCCACAGCCCTGCCCTCCTGCCCACCTGGGACCCCCTTCAGCTCCCACCACCTGCAGAGGCGGTGTCAGCATGCGGGGACTCTCACCACAGCAAAGCCCACACAGGCCATGGAGGTCAGGCAGAAGCCGATCTTGGTGACCTCGGTGAAGTGCTTGGTCCGATCCACATACATGCCAAGAATCAGTGCCCCCAGGAACCCGAACACGATGAAGAGGGCCCCACAGAGGCCTGCAAAATCCTGGAGAAGGAGAAGCCAGGGGCACCCTGTCATCAGGGGCACAGAACTCCAGGGCCCCAGAGGAAGATCAGCTTAGCTCGGATGCTTTGGTCGTACACTGTCACCTGAGGCCTGTGGCAGGACAACAGTGCAGTTCCCATGGCTCAGGAATGACACTCCAGGCAGGTCACATCTGCACCATGGGCTTACATGCAGGGTGGCATCTCCCCCTCAAGGTGCTCCTCTGTGTCACCTCCCACCCAGAGACTCAACAACCACTGAGGGGGGATGGTCCTCTAGGCTCGGGGAAGGGCATGGTCGCTGCAGACGCCCTCAGGCCTGTGTGCCCTGGCAGAGATGGGAGTGTGCATGTGGGGACATCAGGGATGCCAGATGGCAGGAGGGTGGTGAGCAGAGCAAGAGCCTCCTGTCTGCAGGACCTTGACGTCCTCATCTCCAACGATCAGAGGAGGCTCCTTCCCAGAGACCTGCCAGGAGAGGAGCCTAACGGGAAGATGGCTCAAAGCACCACACACCAGAGCCTAATACCACGACCATCCCTCCCCCAATCACACCATCAGCACCATCAGCCTCATCACAAGCAATCCATCCTCGCCACCACCACCACCCCATCACCCCTGCCCCCAGGACCACCACCTGGACCACCTCCTCCATCCCATCTCCATGGCTACTACCCCCAGCCCATCACCCGTGCCCCCAGGACCACCACCTCCTGCACCTTCTCCCTCCCATGCCCACAGACACCACCACCACCACCTCCTCCTCCACCACTACCAGAAGTGGGCTCTGGCATTTGGCATTACTCTTCATATCTAGTATCTAAATAGCGCCCACAACAGCATCAACATTGCTCCCGTCTGAGGTGCGGACACCGAGCATCGGGGGAGGTCGTAGGTGGCTCCGCAGCCACAGCTGGGGTGGGGGCCAGCCTCCAGCCCCTCCCCCTCCGCGGCAGGCCTCGGGTGGGTGGGGACGGACACTCACATTGGAGTAGCCACGCACACACAGGATCTGCTCCAGGAGGGCGGAGAAGCTGGAAAAGATTCCGATGCCGGCCCCGAAACACAGCGCCAGGATGACGTATGCCTTGTTCAGCACGAGCTGGACGGGAAGGGGCTGCTCAGCCCGGGAGCCACTCACGGGGCACCCGCCCCAAGTGCTCTGGGAGGCGGAGTCCCAAGGCACAACTTGTGGGCTCTCCCTCTGGGTCAGGACCGGCAACCACACGATCACAGCGGTTCTGACCAACCCCCTGCCCTCCTCCCCCTCCTCCTCCCTTCAGAGACAGCAGCTCCCCACCCCCCAGGGAAGTCCACCTCCACCTCTAGGCAGCACTGACCAGCTTCAGCCCATCCAGGAACTTCTCTGAGGTGGAGTTGGCAGCCCCGGCTGAGGGAGGGCTGGGCGGCGCACTCTCACAGAGGCACGTGGTGGCCAGTAGGCAGACGACACCGGCCGGGATCACATAGGCTGGGAGCTGAGGGAGGGTATACACACGTGTGCACACAGGTATGGCGGCACAGGGGTACAAAGGCTCGTGCAAACACACACACTCACACATACATGAAGTCGCTTTGGAGCCCCTGCTCTGGGTTTCCATGGCAGCCAACTCCCTCTTCTCCTCCGCCCTCCCTGGCCGCACCTGTCTGCCTCCCTGGCTGGCTGATACTACCCCGACCTGCCCTGCGACCTGCGACCTGCGACCCGAGGGTCTCCACCCAACAGCAAGGTCAGGCTGCTTACAGCTTCGCCTCTGCTTTCCACCTCTGTTCCACCACATGTGGGCGCTTTCACATGGTGGCTTTCAAAATAGTTCACAAGGATGACTCCTACACTTAGAACTGCAGTCTGACCTCCTCTAGACTCGGCCATCTGGCAGTGTGGTGCAATGAGTTCCTCTATGTGGCTTTTGCCTTCGTTCTTCGGAAAAACAGCTTGGGAGATTTTTTTCCCCTAAGCCCGGAGGAGTTACTTTTGCTCTAGTTCTGGGGCAAGCAACTGGCACGGATAGGAACCTCCCAGGTTGCTTCTGACCCCAAAGCATGATTACTGTTGCCCAGGGGAGACGCTGGTCAGGGCAAGAAGAAAATGTTACTTTTGGACAAGCGCAGAGTTGACCGGCATCTCATAGGTGACCGAGGACTGGCTGAACTCTGGAGGTGAGGGTGGCTCCGCCTTGTAACTGATGAGGATTGGCTGACTCGCAGCGGGTATCTGGGCCTCCCAGTGGAGAGCCTTGCTGGCTGAGAGCTGAGCCATGTGGAAACACAGCGCTCCTGAACCCGCTACATGGCCTGCGATGAACGGGGCCAGTCAGTGGCACAGAGGCCAACGATGGAGTGGCCTCCATCACTGAGGAGAGCATAGATGCCCGGTAGAGAAGCTGGGTCAGGGCACGGGCCTGGCCACAAAGGCAGCAGCCAGCAGATCATACCCACTGATCATGGAGGAGGGCAGGGGCACTGGCTGAGAAGTCCAAGGGCTGTTCCTGTGGGGAGCTTATCGGCTCCACGAGCCTTCAGCTGAGAAGCTGATGAAACGCTGTCCTTCAGAGACGAGACCTCGCCTGCGTGCTTCCTGATCCCCATCTCAAGTCGTTCCTGTCACTTCCTACCTCTTGTAGCCTATTCCTTCCCTAAAACCCATGACCTGTGAGTTTTGAGTGGCCATTGCAACAAACCAGCAAACCCAACAGAGAAGTAGAGTGCCACGTAAGGAGCAACTGGTGTCGGAAACAACGTAGACATAAAAGCAAAGATACCTCCACGTCAGGAATAGGCTTCCTGATTCTTAGCCCTCGTGAATACAAATTCATTATGCGACACTGCAAATGAGTAACTGGACTTCGGTGGTGGTTATGTTTGTGTGTCAACTTGGCTGGGCCTGGTTGAGGGGCTGGGCAGCTGGTGGTAGTTATTCCCCATGATGAGACTGGCAATCAACTCCATGGTGGGATCTACCACAAGCAGCTGAGTAGCTGCCTTTGGGATGTGGTCTGCTTCCTGTATGTAAGCAATCTTGGGACTTACAATGGACTTGAATCAATGGCCTTCCATGTGGTTTGGTGACATCAGGACTGTGCTTTGTGACTTGTCAACCTTGAGTTTGTCAGTTTCAGCAGCCAGCAGCTGTCTGAGTGAAGAAAAGCCTCCAGCTTCAGTGGGCCGGCAGCAGGAGGCAGAGCTGAAGCCCAAGACTGAGGGGCTTTCACCCAGCCCCTAGAGCCTGGCACTTGGAACTCAGACTTCTAGCCTCTAAAACCGTAAGAGAATAAACTCCTGTTTGTTCAAGCCATCCCATTTGTGGTCTGTTCCTGTCAGAGCGGCACTAGGTAACAAGAACACTTCCCATAGAATGAGTCTCTCCCAGACCCCTGTCCAACGTGTCCCTTCTCCTGTCTCTGTACATAACACCTCCACTCGCCCAGCTGCTCAGACAGAGAGCCCAGCCCCCCAGTTCCCTCACTGAACCGCCAAGCCACCTTCGCCTCCACAGTGTATCTCCATCTGCCTGCCACTGCCCTGCACCCCTACCACGGCCCTAGCTCCTCTCTGGATCTACAGCCCCCTGCCTACTCGCCCAGCCCACACCCCTGGCCTGAGTCTATGCTTGGACCAGACCCCATCTCCCTCCCGCTCACACCCTCCCACGGTGGAGTAAATACCCACTCCTGCCCCTGCTGTGCTACCTGACCCTGGCCCTCACCCAGCTCAATGCACTCCAGCCCCACTGGCCTCTGGTTTGAATTTCCAACTCCTCAACCTCACTCCCGTCTCAGGGCCTTGGAGTCTGCTGGTCTCTCTTCTTAGATACCCTGTCAGAGCCCCCCACTCATGGGTTCAGCACTCATGCCTCCTACTCCCTGACTCTGGTCACCGATGCCCTCCCCTGTGGCCTCGTGTCCCCAGAGAAAGGGAGTCACCTGGCAGCCCCTAGAACAGTGCCTGACACAGCAGCCAACACTCGCACAGACACTGAGAGTCCCCTGTGCACCCTGTCACCCACTCGGTGTCTGCACAGGTGGGTAGGTGCGTGTACTCTCAGGCACAGGTGTGGATGCACAAGTGTGTGCCCAGCGACACACACGGACACACTCATGACCTCACTCACCATCAAGATGATGTCGCTCTCATTCTTGACGAGAGCAGGTGACAGCACGTTGGCCAGGAGGATGCCCAGGGGGTTTGCTGGATGGACAGACAGACAGAGAAACATCAGGTCTGCACGGTCCCGGCAGGACCCCCCCCCGGCTCCAATGCCAACACCCCCAGCCAGAAAACACGGGGAGCCAGAGGCCCCCTTCACCCCCACTCACACATGGTGGCGATCATGTTGGCTGTGGCTCGCTGGTGCTCAGGGAACCACACGGCGGCCAGCTTGGCCGGAGAGAAGACAACCAGGGTCTGCGCCAGGGCACAGAGGCTCTGCCCGGCCATGAGGTAGGCAAACGGATTCCAGACCCAGACCATGCAGGGCACGGTTCGCAACACGCTCCCGAGGAAGTTGAGCCACGCACCCAGGATGATCTGCAGGGACAGGAAGGCAGCACTGCCAGGCCACCGTGCCCCCCGCGGCTGCCCTGGCCGCCCTTCCTCACCTACCCTCCCGTCCTGGCATTTACTTCCAGGACCCACAGCACTCTGGCCACAGACGTGGAGCTGGGAAGCCTGGCCTGGAACACCCTATCCCTTCCCCGGGACCGCAACTGCCTCTCCTGGTCTCCATAACGGGCAGATGAGGGAGGGAGGGAGGGTAGTGGCGAGGTGCGGTTGACAGGGTCTCAATGCCTCCATCCAGGCACTGGGGTGACGTGTGTGGGAGGAGGGCAAAGCCCTGGGTCTGTCTTTCCCCTTTGTCCCTCCACAGCTGGGGTACGCGGATGGGGGGACCATCGAGCTGGAAAAGGATACTCAGCCCTCGGCCGATGGAGGAGCCCCCATCAGCCCTGAGCCTCTGCCTCTCCTCACCATCACCAATGGCCAGGTCCTCCAGCTCTTCTGTGTTGACAGTAAGCCCCCGGCCGCCAACTCCCAGGGTCTGTCCCCTCTGTACCACAGGAACGGAGCCCCTTCTCCCCGCAAACCTCCCCCCACCAGCCCCGAGAATCCCACCCCATCCTCAGCCTCCCTGTCCCTATTGGCATGTTCCCTTCCCCCCATCAAGCACACGCCAGAGTCACACGTCTTTAGACCCTTCCCCAAGTCATGCTCCTCTGAGGACCACCCCTGAAGACCCCTTCCTCTCCTACGAGTTCCTGAGACGTCTCTGCCAGCTGCTGCCCCTTGGGCCGGTCCAGGTGGTCCATCGTGCCCCTCCCAGGCCCTCATCTCTCTCCCAGTGCTACCCTGCCAGGATGGGCGGAGGTCCCAAGGGTCTGCACCCACGCTCGGCCCCCAGCGCTCAGGCCCTGCTGCCTGCTCCCCTTGGGGCAACCGCTGGGTCCCTCCTTCTTCCCCCTCTCACAGCCCCCCTCTCTCCTTGACCCCAGCCCACCTCTTGAATCTGGGGCATCACTGGCCTGCCACCCCGCTGCATCCTGCGAGGTCTCGCCTGCCCACGGCCCAGGCTGCAGCTCTATCCGTCACTTCACTTCACCCACATCCAACCTCCTGGTGGAACCACCAGCCGTGGATAACAAACAGCAAGTGTGGGCTCACAGCTGTGCCTACGCCGTCCCGGGCATCACCCAGATGCCACATGCCACCCTTCAAAGCCCCCTAAAATGAGATCCAGTGATCACGTGATACAGAGCGGAAAGTGGGGCCCAGAACACCTCTCCAAGGGGCTGCACACCCTGAAGGTGAGCCCTGCACCTTCCTGCAGACCCCCCTACCCCCAGACTCCCTCCACTTGCAGGTGTCACCCTGCCCTGCACCCCACCCCTTCCAGATGCTCCTCCCCCTCCTCCCACCTGTGCTACTCACCCAAGCTTTCTCACCTCACGTCTGAACCTGCCCAGGCTTCTCAGCACCCTGACCGAACCTGGGCCCTGCACCCCACTCACAGGCCCCTCAACTTCCTGACGCCCCAGCCTCCCCACAGCCCCACTGGGGAGCTGGAGGGCGAGGGGGGCAGCGGTGACAGTGCTGGGGCCCCCCTGAGGCAGACCCCGCCCCCGAACCAGCCTTGCTGCAGTGTTGGAGACTCACCGTGCCACGGAGGCCGACCGAATCCAGAACCCACATGGCCACCACGCCAAACGGGATGGACACCAGCAGGTAGACCAGTGAGAGCCAGTTGATGTGCTCGATGGACAGGGAGAAGTGTTTGGCGACGGTGTCGGCCACAGGCGCAAAGCTAAGCCAAAGCTGTGGGGACACATAGCCGAGGAGTCAGCCTGGACACACAGACACTGTCCACCGAGCTCTGTAGGGCACAGGGTGGCCGTCAGACAGCGTGCCACTGATGGACATCACAGCTGTCCCTGGAGTGGCCCTGGGAGTTCTGGCATGAACCCCAAGGTCCTGTGGCTGAAGAGGCCTGCCCAGGAACTGGGCTTAACCCCCCAAGGAGGTGACATGTCCCCCTTGTCTGGTGGAAGGTAGACCAGAAGAGGCTCTGCCCGGGTCAGATGCTGAGGCCAGAATCGGGGGGGTGCAAACGTCATGGACTGAATTGTGCCCCTCAAAACATGCGATGGCACCATAACCCCCACTCCTGTGGCTGTCATCCCGGTGGGAATCCATTTTCTTTGTTATGTTAATGAGGTCACAGCAGGGTAGGGTGTATCCTAAACCAACCACTTCTGAGATAGAAAAAAAGCAGGTTAGACCAAGCCCCCAAGCCCAGACGAGCTGGGAGAAGCCAGGGGACAAAGGAAGATTGCCAAGGAACCAGAGGCAGATCAGGGCCACGGAAGCTGGAAAGAGCCCTTGCCCCAGAGCCTGTGTTCTGAATTGCAACTTCCAGTCTCCTCAACTGTGAGAAAATAGATTTCTGTTCTTGAAAGCCCCCACTCTGGTATTTCTGTCACAGCAGAACTAAGATGCTAAGACAGTGGATAGGATGAAGCCGACAGGGAGGGAGGCAGGGCCTGGGACCTGGGAGGGTGGAAGAAGGAACAGGTGCAGAGGAACTGAGCCTCGTGGGGAGAGGAGCTGAGCCCTGTGGCCAGAGGAGCACGTCAGGGAGTGCCAGGCCTGGTTGGGCAATGAAGGGGACCGAGTGTGAGAAGGGGCGTTAGGGAAGGACCCACGAGCAGCTCTTCCCATCTGCAAACTTAGTGACCCGAGCCTGAAGGAGAAACACCCAATCGTGGACGAGCCTTGCCCAAGCTATCCAAGACACCCACCATGTGCGTGTGGGCAGGTGAGACCCACCTGAGGGCAGGTGACATGCCCTTCCAAGTGCATCATCAGAAGCTGAACCCCAAAGAAGTTCAGGCAGCAGGCCTGCACGGCTGGCTGTCCGAGGGGAAGGCTCCCTGAAGGATGGCTGGGTCAAAGGAGAGGAATAGGGCACCGAGGTTCATTACAGGAGGGAGGGAGGGTGGGGCCACGCAGAGACCCAGGATCAGCGCATGTCACAAATCAAAGACCCTGACAAGCCCAGCTCTGTGCCTGGAGAAGAGGCCACCCAGGCCTGCAGGGACCCTGCGTGCTTGTCCAAGGCTTCCCCCTGGCAGAGGTAACGAGGTCCAGCTTCCTGACCCAGACAGCGCTGCCGCAGACCCCAGGGCCCCCATGTGACCTGAGGCGGGGACACAGCTGCCTGTTCTTCCTTCTTTTCTCACCACAAGCAGAGACACACCCCCAGGCCCAGGGGGTGCCCTCAAGCAAGCCCGCTGACTCCTGCCCAGCCAACCAGGGCAGGGAGAAGTGGTGTCCCCTCTCGGCTTGGGGCCCGCGCCTTGGGGGCAAGAGGGGTCAGGTGAGGTGGGGCCGGGCTCTGCTTGCCTGATTCCTGCCTCCTCAAGAAAACCCTTCATGTGCCCGTCGCCCAGCCGGGCGTCAGTGCAGAGAACCCCAGCCCCCCACTCCAGCCCCCGTGCCCCAGGCATCATGCCAGTGGTTCTCTTCCTGAATACTGGGCTCTCCAGGCTGCAGGCTGTCTCGTGGGACCCAGACTTCACTCTGAGCACTGCCCCGTGCTGTCCCTCGCACTGCTGCTCTCGGAATCGGGGTGCCCTGGGCGCCTGGGGCCGTGGACAGAGGAACCAGGGGCTTGTGGTGGAGCTCGCTGTCACTGTGAGCTGTTGTTGAGTGGGCATGGACTCGTGGGGAGCCATGTACAATGTAAGACAGGTACAGCTGAAGATAATGGTGCCCAGCCCTGCACTCCTCAAGGCGCTCTGGTGGCACAGTGCCTAAGGCATTTGTCTGCTAACCAGAAGGTTGGCAGTTCAAACCCACCGGTTGCTCCATGGAAGGAAGGCCGGGCAGTCTAGTTCCGTAAAGATTTACCACGTTGGAAACCCAATGGGGGTCGCTGTGAGTCAGAATCGACTAGATGGCGGTGGCTTGGTTTTCTTGGCTTGGTGCACCCCTCAGGACTGGCTGTGAACTGTGCTGTTGTAAATCTATTGGGTTCCCATTGATTTTTTTTTTTTTGGAAGTTCATTACCAGGCCTTTCTTCCTACTCCATCTTAGTCTGCAAGCTCCACTGAAACCTGTTCAGCATCAGAGCAGCCCACAAGCCTGTGTGCGTGAGGCACAGGCCAGAAACCAACCCAGAAAGACTCTTGGGCGTCGGAATGAGATCTTTGTTTTATAATGATTCGTGGCTCAAGTAACTGGCACAGCGGACACACTTCAGTGGCCAGGGACTTTCTTGAGACCCCAGGCCCCAGACTGTGAGGCCATTGTAGGAGCTCGGGGTCCAAGGGCAACCCCAGCTGTGGGGCAGTCCTGCGACCCGAGGCCACTCCGCCCACAGCCAGTGACGCTAGGCTGGTGGCTCGGGTGGCCTGGAAACCAAACCACAGTGAGAAGTCACAGCTGTTCTGGGCAGCCATAGGGGACATTTCCAGAGTCACTGCAAGGAGGTGGCTGAAGCAGGGACAGAGGGACCCTCGGGAGTGACCTTGGCCTAGGAGGGTGGCCAGTCCCCACCACACCCCACCACAGCCTGTGAGCAAGAGGTCACTGAGCACCGAGCCGCCAGGCAGTGCACATGGATGCTTGACCTGGGGGCACGGGCTGCCTGGCTGGGGTGGGGACACCGCAGAGGTCAACCAAGGAGGCCCCAGTGGAAGGGGGTGGGCAGTTAGGACCCAACCAGGGCAGGTGGGCAGGGTCAGAGACCCCTGGGGCCCAGGCACTCTGTTTTGTCACTCACTTACTCAGTCACCAACATGCATCAAATGTCTCCTGAACCAGGTGTCACATGGACACAGAGCCCAAACACACAGCCCCCCGGGGTGTCAGAGGCGGACAGGGCTGAACCTCTCCCCTCCCCCTCCGCAACACTGCCCTCCCCCCTGCTTTCAGAAACAGACACTGCCTGCCCACCTCTGGCCCTGCAGAGAACGTGAGTCAGCCTTGGCCCCAAGCAGCCCATGGACAACACCGCCCTCTCTTCTCCAGGAATAGGTCCCCAATACGCCCCTTACCCTGTCACTGTCCCCAGGCCTCCAGGACTTCACACAGCTCCACCCCCAGCTTCTCTCCTCTCCTAGCCCAACCACCATCCTGTGTGTGTCCAAGATCACCACACTCAGAATAAAATCCCTTCTCCTTCTGGGGTTCTCAAAGGCCCCAGGTCCAGCTGGCAGCCCACCCACCCCTGCTCTGGCCTCACCACCAGCTTCTAGCTCCTTAACCAGCCTCTTTCAACTCTGCTTTGCTTTAGAAAGGTCGGACCCGCAGCTGTGCTGGGGGCACACCACAGAGCCAGCAGAGAGCTGCCAGTCACCCACCGAGTCCCACTGTCAGTGATGGGCTGGGTGACAGTGAGAGCCAGCCTGTGACCAGAGACACCGGCAGGCGCAAGCCTGGGGGAGAAGCAGGGTGGCCGAGACCCTCGTAATCAGCCCGCTTGGTTCTCGCAGCTGACCTACAGGTCATGGAGGCTCTGCTGTTAGGCCCCTGCCCGCCAGCTCAGTGCAGTCCCAAGAGTGGCAGGGCCCCAGGACCTCAGCTGGGGGCTATGGAAACACTGGAGGAGGGAGAGGATGGCCTCCCGTGAGAGCCCCCCAGTCAGAAACCCAGGGCAAGGTGTCCAGGCAAGACGCCAAGGCTGAGGGTGGACCTGCCCTGCAAGGGCCCATGTCCCTTGGGGTGGCAGCTGAGATGCAGAACCCATGAGGACAAGGCTGGCACATTAGGAGGTTCAAAAAGTAAATTAGCCCAGAGTTTTAGCTTTGTAGGTATATTGATACCTGTAAGCTAAAGTGAAAAAAAAAGTTTTTTTTGCTGCTATAACTAACGACTGGGATGTTGTTATTGCTGTTGTTGTTGTTGTTAGGTGTCAGGAGGTCGCCTCCGACTCACAGCGACCCCTTGCACAACAGAACGAAACACCACCCGGTCCCGCGCCAGCTCCGTGATCCCTGCTCTACCTGAGCCCATCGCCGCAGCCACTGTGTCAATCCATCTCGTTGAGAGCCTTCCCCTCCTTCATCGACCCTCCACCTTATAATTTTATTACTATACAAATGATAGGCTTCTACTGAAACACTACACACAGATCTTATAGACAGTTATTTCGGTCTCACCCCCCTCTGACAAGACAATGTCATCAGTGTGGTCCACACCTCCACACCCTCCTAGGAACAGCACTGTGGAAGACCCCTTTCCTGGTGTTAGCAGTGACCTCCAGGACCCCACTGCAGGAGCGAGATTCCCGGGAATCACTCTAGGGTGCAGGCCCGAGGGACACACACACACACACACACGCACACACACACACACACGGATACACACATGGACACCCATACACACACACTTTCTCCCGCCACCTCCAGCCACCCGCCAGCAGAGGGCGCTGTCGGCCCCGACGGCTCCCCCTGGCGGTGGCGCGCCGGCACCCGGGAGGGTAGGTCGGCCGGGGAGGCGGGCGCTTCTGCAGGAAAATGAAACCAGGCGGGTTCCGGGACCGCCTCAGCAGGCCCCGGCCAAACGACGCCCTGGGCGCGGGGCGGCCGCACGGAGGTGAGAGGAGGGTCGGCGGGGCCCGGGCTCCCTCGGCCTGGCCCGCGCCCGGGACCTCGCGCCCGGCCCCTGACCCCGCGCCCAGACCCACGTCCCTACCGTGGCGTTGGAGCAGCTTAGCAGGCTGACCACCAGCAGGAAGACCCAGCGGCGCGCGTAGACGCGATAGCCCAGCAGCGCGCTCACAGCCCGGGCGGCCCCTGGCCGGTCCCCTGCCGTCCCGGTCGCGTCCGCCGTCGTCCCCGCCATCGGCTCTCGCCCCCGGCCAGCCGCGCGCCGGCTTAAGATCCTGGCGCCGCCTTGAGGATCGCGGCGCGTAGGCTTGGACCGCCCCTGGAGGTGGGGCAGGGCCCAGGGGCGCACAGGGCCGGGCGCAGCTCTGGGGTGTCGGTCCGCCTCCTAAGGCCTGGGCGGGGTCACCGCGACCAGCTTTATAGCGAGCGGGAGGGGCAACTGGCCTGCCGGAGCCACTTGTCCCAGGTGGGCAGAGGACAAGTCACACCTTCCTTTACGGGCCTCAGGGGTATGTGTGTGTGGGAGGAGGGGTGTCAGGATGGAAGTCACTCCCACAAATGCAGACCCTACACACAAGCAGTTCCCCACCCCTGTCCTGCAGGCTCCCAGGCCCACTGCCCTGTGTGGGGCCCCACAGTGGGCATACCCACCCAAGGGAGGCAGCAGAGGGGCCCAGCGTCTGCCTCGGGGAATCCAGTCATTAGGTCATTCTGCTCTGGGCAGCATTTCCTGTAAGTGGCTGCAGAAATGCCTCCATACACCCCCCAGGCTAGACAACAGTTCCCAATCTCCAGCCAGGTCACCTGCGTGGCCAGAGGCCAGCCTGGATGAGGAGGCTGGACCAGTTTGCCAAGATCCTTGAATTCCAGACAGGCCCTGACCCGCCTCTGCAGGGAAGTGGGAATGAAGGGGCAGGGTGCTCCAGGCACACAGGTGTGCTGGCAACAAAGGAGAAAGAGTGCCAGGAGGTGGAGAGCCCCAGTAGCCTCAGGCCAGGGGAGACAGGTCTCCCCAGCTGCCTTGGCCCCTGTGGAGTTGCTACCTGCATTTTACAACTGAAGAAACAGCTGGGCGGAACAGCGGAGGGATTTGAGAGGGCGAGACCTGTGTTTGGGATGGAAAGGAATTACTGTTAGGTACTGTCGCAGTGTTGACTCACAGTGACCCCAAGTGTGACAGAACAAAACACTGCCCAGTCCAGCCTCGGCCTCACTATAGTAGGGGTTTCAGCCCACTGTTGCAGCCACTGTGTCAATCCATCTCATTGAGGGCCTCCCCCTCTTTCATTGACCCTCCACTTTACCAAGCGTGACATCCTTCTCCAGGGAATGGTCCCCTCTGACAACATGGCCAAAGGAGGTGAGACGAAGTCTGGCCATTCTCGCTTCCAAGGACCATTCCGGCTGCACTTCCTCCAGGACAGGTAGGTCGTTCTGGCAGTGCACGGTACTTTCAGCATTCGTCACCAACACCACAACTCAAAGGCATCAACTCTTCTTAGGTCTTCCTTTCACATGCACATGAGGTGACTGTAAACACCATGGCTTGGGTCAGGTGCATCTTAGTCCTCAAAGTGACATCTTTGCTTTTTGAGATTTTAAAGAAGCCTTGTTTGGAAGGGTAAGATCTGCAGCCTGGAAGCCAGGGTGGACCGAGGTCTGAGTTCGGGCTCTCTAACGAAGGGGCGACCAAGGTGTGAGTAGCAGAGGGGGAGACCTGGCCTCCTCCCAAGGGAGCAAGGGAAATCGTGTCTCACGTCTCACGCATCTCAAAGCTCCTTACACTTTAGTCTTCACCAGCTACCCACTTTGCAGGGCCCATCCATCAATCCTTCACCCTCCCGTACATCTCAGCAAACCGATTGTGAGGTTTTACCTTTTGCCATGAGTTTACTAAGACAGAGTGGTGGTGGGGCGTCCCATGGAGCTGCCCACTTTGTGACTCCTTTTGCAGAGGTCCCGTCAAGTGAAAAAGAAGTCACTGGGAGGCACAAGTAGTTTGCACTTGACTGTGAACCAAAGGGTTTACAAGGTGAACCACAAGGTGGTTTAAACTCACCCAGTGGTGCAGCCGCAGAAAGGCCTGGTGACCTACTTCCTTTAAGATTAGAGCCAATAAAACCCTGTGCAGCAGCTCTGCCCTTTGACACCTGTAAGTACCATCCTTCTCACCGTGAGTCAGAGTTGACTTCATGGGCAATAGGTTTGGTTTTGGGTCCATTAAGAGAAAACGGGGCTCTCTGCTTCTGGAAGTGCCCCAGCAGTCTCACCATTCTCTGAGACCACAGCGGAACCCCTGGGTCCTGCCTTTTCTCTGTCCTTTGCCACCACCCCACCATGTTCACAGCCCCATCGCCGCTCATTAGCTGACTCTTCCACTGCCTCCTGGCCGTTAACCTGGGGTTTCCATGTTCCCTGAGGGACCTGAGCTTGGATTTGATCATGACTGTTACAAGCTTCAGGACCTGAGGCAGCACCTCTGGGCCCAGCTCCTCACCCACGAGATGTGGCATGTCTCCAGGGGCTACCTAAGTCCATCTGTGAATTTCTGCTAAGCGCCCACGGTGCAGCAGGGGCCAAGATGGGAGCCCTGGACCGTACAGACAAGATCCCGCAGCCATGATCTGATGGCCCCGGAGCTGACGGGGAGAGACGACAGAGCAGAGGTCTGCGCACTGGCAGGCGTGATGAGAGCCTTGGGCTAACAGGTGGGCCCAGGTCGTTGGTGGTGGCTGTTTTTAGTCCCCTCGCCCGGGTCACACACTCTCCTCAGTGTCCTTGAAGCCCACTCATCTCCCACATCACCAGCTCTGCGGCCCACCGGCCCCTGCCACCTCCTCTCCCTCCACACACAGGATTGGCTTCCCTGGTGACTCATCGCTCCAGAGGGGCTGTCCCTCCAGCTGGTCTGTGCAGTGCCTTAATCACAAGGCCCCCACTCAGTCAACAAGCATACATCCAGTCCTACTACGTGCCAGGTTGGGGCCCAGCAGGCAAGGTCTGCCGCATCCGGCAAAACCGCACAGGTCACGAAATGAAGCGACACGAAAGGATTAATGGTTTTTTAAAGGAACGGGGGCCAGGCGGACGCTCTGCATATTCTGCCGAGCGACCCCTGATGCCTTTGTTCTACTTTACTCATCTGTTTCTACATGATTACATCATTCTTCTTGGAATCCATACAATCAACTGTTTTCTGCAGAGTTCAAGTTTTACTCCTCCGCGTGCTCAAGGACAACAGATGGTCATTGAAACACTCACAAAAGCCTCCTCAGGAATAAGGAGTGTAAAACGATAAATGTTTACTAGGGCTCAGTGACCCAAAGTACAAAATGTCCCAACAAGATAAAAACATGGACTACTGGAATAACATCTAGTTTTAATACTTGATGTTTTGCCAAGTAAGCATTTAACCGTGAGAGGCCTTGCCTTCTCTCTCATTGCCGTTGGACATGCGCCTTGCACTCTTGTCCTTTGATCATTTCTCTCTTGGTCTCCAACAAAGGTCACTGCTTGAGTGGACACCCTCAGCGACCACAATCTAAACTCAGGAGCCAGCCAGTCCCTGACTCTGCACACGCAGCCACCAGTCAGCCCTCACAGCTGCCCCAGGGAAGCCTGAAGATTACCCCCATTTTACAGACCAGGAAACTGAGGCTGAGTAACTTGGCCAAAGCTCACCTTGGGGCTGGGAGATGGCAGATGCCAACCAAGGGGACTTCTGCCTGGCCTCGGCACACCTGTGTGACCTCTGAACACTCGCCTGGCATCTGCCTACCTGCCTGGCCTCTGCATACCTGAATGGCCTCTGCCCACCTGCATGACCTTGACACACCTGCATAGCTGGTCTTGCAGGCTCGCTCCACAGGGCCTGGCCACCCCACCATGCTCCCACCTGGTTGACCTCCTTGCTCACCGGCCCTGCTTCACTGCTGCCCCTCTCTTTAACCCTCTGACTATTCTCTGGTGGGAACCAGTCCTGCCTGCTGCAGCCTGGTTCTCCTGAACCCCTGCTCACCTTCCAGTCCCAGCTCCTCCCACATCCTGTCCTCGTTCTCGTCCCTGGGAACTTCTCAGGGCTACACTGCGGCCACAGTGGCATCAGCCAGGTTCCAAGGGCCCATCCTGTGGGCATCAGGTCCAGGGCTCTGAGGGGGCCCACGACTCTGTATTGGGGGACAGCTTGGGAATCAATCAGATGCATAGCCAGGCTTAACCAGCCTTCCCCACCCATTGCCGTCCAACCTCAGACATACCTGTCCATGGCTTCACTGATAATACCCTTCCCAAGGGCAGCTGTGGTCTCCATTCCACTAAACCCACTGCTGTAGAGTCGTATCTGACTCGTAGTGACCCCTCCTTGGGTTGCTAAGGCGGTATCTGCAGAAGTAGATTACCCAACCAGGAAACTGGGCTTGCAATGCTGTCCTTCCCTCCACCTCCGTGTGGGGCTCCTCCCTACTCCCGAGACTCTATGTGGAGTAGGTGAGTGCAGCAAGTTTGCAAGATACAAGATATCAATCACATTTCTTTATTCAGCCACACCTCATTTTATTGTGCTTCACTTTATTGCGCCCCACAGATACTGCATGTTTTACAAATTGAAGGTTTGCGGCAACTCGGCTTCGAACGAGTCTGTCGGAGCCATTTTTCCAACACCATGTGCTTGGTTCATTTCTGTGTGTCACGTTTCGGTAACTCTCGCAATATTTCAAACCTTTTCATAATGCTTTTGCACACGTACTAGACGTGACCGAAACCAAAAACCCAAACTCACTGTCTTCGAGTAGATTCCAACACATGGCAACCCCTACTGGGTTTCCTAGGCTATAAATGTTTACAGAAACAGACTGCCTCATCTTTCTCCTGCAGAACAGCTGGTGGCTTCAAACTCCCAACCTTTTCGTTAGCAGCCAAATGTAACAACCACTACACCACCAGAGCTCCTTAATAGACTACAGGATAGTGTAGACATAACTTTCATGGGCGTGAGGAAACCAAAAACCCCATGTGATCTGCTTTATCGTGATGGTCTGGAACCAATGCTGCAATATATCCTAGGTGTGCCTGCAACCACAATAACAAACACAATCCCATTTACAATCACTCCAAAGAAAAGGATGTACTTACGTATAAGCTCAACAGAACGTGTTCAGGTCAGTACGCTAACATTTACACAACACCACTAAAAGGAATCAAGGAGGACCTAAATGAATATTCATGGCAACAAAGTTA